GTCACCAAACAAGCACATAAGTCCATGCATTAAAGTCATAAATATCTCAAATTAATTTAACCAAAAATTGATCTTAGAAAGGTAAGAGTAAATACCAAAGAATCCTTTACCATCATATTTAATATTTATTTATGACCATTAAATATTAATATCCATCACATATCTATAGCTATTTCATAATCAGAACCCGATGGGGGTTCAACAACATATTCAGCCAAAGGCCCATTATATCGGGATTTGATCATTGGGATATTCTTTAAAGCTGGAGCTCTTTAGAATAACCTTTTTTACCATTACCAAAGATAGGACAAAGGGTCAATCATACATGTACCCCAAATCATTATTATAACACATTCATCATGAATAAGGTCTCAAATGTTCAAAAATTAATCATCAAAACAAGTATAGAATTTTATTTCAATAAATCTCCAATTTCACCAAATTAATTAACTAAAAAGATCACTTATAAATGTAGATGAAAATACTAAAGAATTATTTACCAAAACCGAGTAGATTAGTCTTTTGGAAGGGGAGGAAAGAACTTTTAGCATTTCTGGTCAAGCTCTTGAAACTCCAACCCTTTACCTTTTTTTCTTGCTTCTTTCTCTCTCTAAAATTCTCTTTCTCACTCTAAAATCTCTCTCTAAAAAGTGAAAATAGAAGAAAAAATGAAGTGTGTGAAAATGGAAAAAATAGAGTTTTTAAATAAGCATGGAGAAAGCTTGGATGTGCGCTACATTGGAAGCATCCAACTGGGTGGTTGAGAGGTGGGTGAAGAGTGGGTGACCGTGCGACGCCTAAGGCATGGGGAGGCATGTGGGAGGGAATGGGGAAGATCTTCTCCTCTTTTTTGGTTTTCCTTTCTTTTTTTTCTTTTCTTTTCTTTTTTTTTTCTCTCTTTTCTATCTCTTATTTTATTTTATTTGACCTTTTTTAAAATTCATAATTATAAATTAAAGATAAATTCAAATTTAAATATTTTAAATAAAAAAATTCAAATTTAATAAAATAAAACATGGTAAAAATTAAATTTTCAAAAATATTAATAATTTAAAATATAAAGAAATTAATTACCGATAAAAATTTAAAATAACCACTAAACTCAAATTAATAGAGTTTTGACCATACGCTAAAGCCCAAAAATTTGGGGTATTATAATAACGTTCTCACTGCACTCATCATTA